TTCAGTCTTGTTTCTAAAACTCAATGGTAAAAACTACTGTTTTAAAGGCAGTTTCAGTATACTAAAATATTTTGCTGCTTTTAAAATAACTCATATAACAGTTATGGCCATTGGCTTTACGTGTCCCTCTGCCTCATTTCATTTTATTACTTTTCCACCTGTTCCTGCTTCCAGCATAACAGGAAACAACTGGCATGAATGAATTTGATAGAAGGAGAAGAACAAGTAAGAATTCATAGATCAGTCCCTGTGAGTGAAGTCAGAAGACAGGATGAGAAAGAGTCCAATACAGGGACTTTTGGAGTTAGTTCCCCTTGCAAAGCCAAATTTGGCCATCAAGGCAAACTGCCTCACCACTGAGAAACTGAAATGAATGGTCCTTGTATTCTGTTAACCATACCATATCTTGGTGAGCAAACTACACAATGTAAGAATAAATATAGCCTTTCTCTTTCTCTCCACTCTTTCTATCATAACAGAGGCATGGCATAGAAAAATAAGAGGTTGTAACAAAATGTACTGTATATATCAGCAAGAATTCAGTAGAAAAGAATAAATATGAAATTTCCATTCTGATCTCTGAATCATCCTTTTCTGGGTATACAGCATAAGGTTATCTCCTATTCAGAAGCAGTCTGTGATCCACAAAAATGTAAGTGATAATTAATTTAAGAATATGTTTCTTTTAAGGTGCCACAGGAATTATTTTTGCTTCAGTAACAAAATGTCATTGCTTGAGCAGGTAGAGAATCCAAATAGCACTATTTTTCTATGTTTAAAAAATTGCCCCAAAAGTAAATTCCCTTTTTTGAGAGAGATTGAGAGAGAGAGAGAGAGAGAGAGAGAGAATGGAGGAGGACATCCTATCACTTTGCTGACATAGATGTTCATTGCTTGCCAGGCCCCTCTTTCATATAATTTTGTAGGAAGGCACAAAGATGTGGATGTCAGGACAGAAAATGCTCCTTTTGGGCGGAATGTGCATGTGAGTCCCTGTCCTTTGGCCTTTGTTTTGGGATTCAGTAGTCTGACATCCCAGCATACCCCCTGCCTCTCTGTGAGCTTCTGAACGTGGGCTGCAAACTGCACCTGGTGAGATCAGTGTGGAGAAAATGTCTCATTTATATTGTTTACAAAAAAATTAAAAGATAAAAAAGAAGAATTTACACAAGTGTTTTTCACTCACAGACAATATAAATAATTACACACTGTATACTATACAATTATTTAATTTAAATTTAAGTAAACTAACTTAAAACAAACAGAAACATTAAAATGTAAGATTAAATATATAAAGTAATATATAAGCAGATCTAATGTCTAATGGAACATTCTGCAAAGACCCAGCTCTCTGGAGAAGGCTGTAATGCTGGGAAAGGTGGAAGGAAAGAGAAGAAGAGGATGACCAGCAGCAAGTTAGATGGACTCAGTTACAGTGGCAATGGGGGCACCATTGGAAGACCTGAAAGAACAAGTTAAGGATAAATCATCTTGGAGAAAATCTATCTATGTGGTTGTTAGGAGATGAAAATGACCCCCTGACAGAGTCATCACCACACTATCAGTGAGATAGATTGCATGGCAAGACTTGTGCTGGAGGAAGGGGAAAACATTATTATAAAATTGGTACAGCTAAAGATTTTAAGCTGCTTCCACATGGATTGGGGATGAGACAAAGGCAACAACATGTGGACATGATCTTTGAAGATGGTTGGCAGGGAATCTTCATGCTGCAGTTAGCAAGACATGAGGATAAGCCCTGTCTTGTGCATTGAATTGTCTTTCTCTTCCTATCACATTACTCTTACACCTTAATTATTAGCTCCTGTAACTGGAGCTATTAAAGTCTTAGGAATTTCATCACAAATAAATAAAGGTGACAGCTCTAGAAAAGAACATCAGGCAACTATTAGAAAACCATTAGAAAATCTATCTATCATCAGAGATTAGGGTGACTCCAATCCTGTTGGCCTTTTGTAAGGCCGTGAAGACCTGGTTATGTGCCCAGGCCTGGGGCCCTGAGTGTATTAAGGGCCCTGTTTCTTGGCTATATTAACATATATGGCAATAGTTTTACTCAGTGACCATATATATATATACAACCTTCCTTCCTTCCTTGATCTGAGAGCAAGCCTCCAGGTGTGCTATCTGGGGGAGATAGGCGGCATATACATTTAATAAATAAATAAATAAAAATATATTTATTTGTATTATTTTAATTGTTTTAGGTTTTTATGATTGTACAACGCCCAGAGTCACTTGTTGAGATGGACAGCTATAGAAATGAAATAAATAAATCTATCATATCATACTTTTAATTTATGCTTTTAATTTAATTTAATTTAAATATAATTTAATGCTTTTAATTCATGGATTGTGTCAGACACATGCAATATAAGTGAAGCAATGGTGTATACTCATAGTTAAATTACATGGGGCCCAAGGGGCACACATATATGCAAAGGCTGTGTGTGATTAATCCATATCATAGTTGAATAAGGTCTCAGAACTAGGGTTGTCAGCTCTTAGCAATAGAATAGGCAGTCTGGGTTCCTCTCTGTCTTCTTGCTCGTGCTGTCTGCATCCTTCCTTTCTTCCTTGATCTGAGAGCAAGCCTCCGGGTGTGCCACAGCAGGTCCACAAAGGAGGAAGAGACACTTCTTCCTTTTATTCCAACCAGTCTAGCTTAAAGCAGAAATTCTGAGATCTCACTAAAAGATTATGCATTTCAAATTATCCATTTCAGTAACTGTAGTTTGAAAGATGATTGCTGACAGCTTCTGGTTCATGTATTAGCTATGTGTATTCACCCCCATTTACCTTGCAATCCTAATCCTCCTTATTCACAAGTAAGTGCCATTATGTTCAGTGAGGCTTACTCCTAGGAAAATGTGGGCGGCATTCACTATTGTCTTTAAAAGTTTACATCCTAAAGCTAACTTATTGGACTGCAACTTCCATCATGCTGGCCCCCAATAATCAGCAGCTAGAAATGGCTGTTCCAGGAAACCTGTAGAGGGTGATGATCTCTGTAGAAGACTCACTCTATCAGCCCATATTTTAATAAGGAGTCCTCCAAAAGCCAACTTTGGGTGGTGATTTATTAGGGGCCAATAACTCACCCTAGAACAAAATGTCCCTGGTAGGTAGGGGAGGTTATTGTGACTGTGTGGTATGAACCCTTCCACTGAACTGGCTGCTAAGGAACTGTTGAGGGGGATATAATTAACTGAAGCTTCTGGGAGTCCAATCTCATTTCCAGTGTCCAAGGCCAGTTTCCTGGTTGCACAATAGGCTTGCTATAAAAATAAGACGTCCAACTTTCTTCCCTTGGTTGTGGTTTATGCTTCCCCTGCTGTCTGAAGTATCATTGCTAATTTATGACTCATATCCATTGGCAGCACAGGAACAAAACCAACTTCATTTCCTCTGATAAGGTTAAAAATTGACTACTGAGTCTTTTTTTCTCCTGATACAGCAAAATAACAGAAGGAAAATCATCTGGATAATGTGTGTTAAAGATTGTTATAAATGCCAAGGCTGGATTCTGATCTGGCCTTATAATAGCCAAAAAAGTGTTTTTGTTGCCTGTCTAATGGTCACTTCACCCACATCATATATGTGCACATACATCCACAATCACTGACATTAATTTTTGGATATCAAAAATATCCACTATTTATTCTTAATGAGCTGACTTCATAATGTAGTGAAGTGATAGGAGAAAGCACTTCCAACAAACAGCACACTCTCAAACATTGCAAACCTTTACGGTGGCCTCCCTGTAATATTTTTGAGTGCAGAAGTCTGAGCAACGTGGAATGAGTATTAGGATAAAGTACATCTTGAACCTGATGCCTAAGAAGGCAAATAGCAAGAACATCTTTCTCTAACACAGAGATGTAGAATCAGAGATCCTAGAAAAGCATTCAAAGGCCTCCAAAGGCCCTGGATGCACCCACAGAGACATCTGAAGTTGGTTACCAAACTGTAATTCTGAATGGAACAGAAGCGGGAAATTATAATACACAGCTGTAGAGGAATTATATTAACTCTATTTAATTAAACATAAAAACTAACCCTAACCCTAATATTTTCTGGAGCATAGCCCCAACATGGTATGGGGCCAGGTTACTTGCAGGACCATCTCTCCCCAGTTGTATCTACCCATCCTGTGAGATCCAGCAGGGAGGCATGCTCCGGGTCCTGTCTATTAGGGAGTGCCATCTGGCAGGTCCTGGAGATTTTTCTGTTGTGGCACCTGCCCCCTGGCACATCATTCCCCCAAAGATTAGACTTCCCTGACCCTACTGGCTTTCTGTAAGACCTTAGAAACCTGGCTTTGTTGCCAAGCCTGGAGTCCAGGTTGTGTGGTTGAGCCTATGTCTTGGTTATGTTGATGGTGTTGGTTGGTTTCATCTCAGCTCCTCTATTTGCTATTTATTGTTTTTTATGAAGTTTTTATTCTTTTTAGCCCAGAGTCATATCAGCCATATAAAATGAATGAATGAATGAATGAATGAATGAATGAATGAATGAATGAGCTACTCAAAGGCCAGGGGCAATCCCTGAAAAATGGTGCTCAATCCTCTAATATAATGCATCCCAAGGAACTTAGGGCACTTCACCATTATTTGCATACAACATCCTTTGTTAAAAGAGTATCTCAAAATGATGAACTCTTTCACCACTACTCCACTATTCAAAATCACACATGAATGCATACATATGCACCCTTACATGACCTCTGCATACTCAGAGCATGCCAGAACTTGCTTCTAGCGGAACTCGTTATCAATTGTTATTCATCTTGGTGTCTTGTCTGTTAAGATGCACCTGGGTGCAATCCGAGTCAGATAACTTACCCACATTAAAATTATTGACATTTTTTAGAGCATCTGCCCACAGCTCCAAACCAACAGTAAGTGACAGACAATGACAAAGGGAATTTGTTTCCTTCCTGCAAGGGCACACTCTTCTCTGCTCTGTTCAGCTACAAGATGGAAGGTTTCCCAGGACTCCTGTTACTGCTACTGATCACAGGTACGACACTGAATACTGCCATTTCTTGGTCAATATAGAACTCACTTGTATAATATTGAGTTAAATGATATTGTGAGGCTCCGCTTATCCATTTTCTAATAATTGATGCAAACGAGCATTACATTTTGTTCCTATTTTTTTTCCAGAAAGGATGGGAAAATACATTTTACCATTTACAGAACAATTCTACATATTTCTACTCAGGCTTCAGTAATATTTAACATGTAGAGATTTCATTCTTATACTTCACTAATAAGATTAGGGATTGTTATTGAGATTCTTTACAAATTGGTGGTTTTGTGCATGTAAAAGCATAGCTGTTGAAGATAGCCTCTCCTACCTGTGCACTCTAGAAGTGTTGGACTACAATTGCCAAAGTTTTACACCAGCAACTTAACTGAGGGACACCCAGTTGGGGGAGAATGTGATAAATTGGGTGAGCAATGTCTGCTGGCTTTAGGGCTACCCCTGAGTCCATGCAGCATATGAAGGACTAGGGATGATCTGGGGAGGGGAATTTCAGAAGTTTTAAGTGATGAGATTGGTGCCTTAAGCGTCTATAGGCTTAAGGCACCCACTTCACCTTTTATATCCACTCAAAAGTACAAAGTGGGGGCACTTTTTGGCTCCATCAACTCCAGGGGTCTTGAGGTCACAAAAGGGATGCCACACTTTTTGCACCACTATTCTAACAGGTCAAAATCTATTTAGCCAGATCTACTTTCAGACCAGGGGAAAGATTTATTGGTATCAGCAAATGCTCTTTTCTGAAGAACAGACACCCTTTCATTAAGAAGATTAGCTGAATGCTATTAATAGATGGCCAACAATGACTAGGCAATAGTCAAAAATCAGGAAGAGTCTGGTAGCACCTTTTCAGACTGACAGATTCTATTAAAAGGCGACAGTTCATCAGATGCATGGAGTGGCTAAACTGATGTGGGATTTAAATTGGAATGAGGTGCAGGGAGGGAGGGAAAGGCAGGTTGGTTGTGTACACGCAGAATATAAGTGAGGCAGATTACAAATATCTTCTGAATTAACACTTGTAATACATCATTGTGTTTGTCGAGGCTTTTTTGAGATAGTCTGAAACCTTTTGATGTTCAGCAATCTGTCACTCATCTGTGGTGTTAAAGTAATCAGGAAACTTTAACACCACAGATGAGTGACAGATTGCTGAACATCAAAAGGTTTCAGACTATCTCAAAAAAGCCTCGACAAACACAATGGGTTTTTAATGTATTACAAGTGTTAATTCAGAAGATATTTGTAATCTGCCTCACTTATATTCTGCGTGTACACAACCAGCCTGCCTTTCCCTCCCTCCCTGCACCTCATTCCAATTTAAATCCCACATCAGTTTAGCCACTCCATGCATCTGATGAACTGTCGCCTTTTAATAGAATCTGTCAGTCTGAAAAGGT